TCGAATCTCTCGTTCTGTTTTTGACAACAACAAAAAGTGAGAGTGGGATGCAAAACTCAAAATTACCCAGAATTAAGTAAAAAGAACTTAAATTTAGGGTAATTTTTTTTTCTCTGTGTATAAAATTTTAGTTGCGGATGAATAATACCCTTATTTGAGTAATTAATTTATTTTTTTAGATACAATCTCACGAGCAAGAATGCTTTTCTTATTATAGTTATAAATAGAAATACTAGAAGGAGAGATGGGCGGAGAAAACAAAATACAATTCGGCAGCAGGGATTTGTATCTAAATTATCTTGCAATATTTTGCACATTTTTGGTGCCATTAATTAACCAGCTAAGATCAATTAATCAATAGAGCTAGAATATTGCTTTTGATTCCAAAAACTAGTTGAATTTGAGAAGCACACGAAACATAAAGGTGATTGAATTTCTGTTCTATTGCAATACTCTCAAATTTAATCTAGTAAGAATAAGACATCCTCGGAAAAAATCTAATGGGAATGTTCGTTTGGCTCAGATTTTGACAGTTCATTTGGCTCTCATTTGGGATTCTCTCCGCTCATCACTCCTTCTAGTATTTCTAGTTATAAAGAACCTTTATTTTTCATTTTTTTGAAAACACACTTTCCATTGATGGACGTAACTGTCATGTTCTTCTTCTATGCATTTGAAGCTTATTTATTTATTTATATAATGGCCAACAGATAAAATATTCACCCAAATGACAGTTTACTTATTCTAGGCAAATTAACATACAATTATCTTGAAATTGCACTTATTTCTAAAACGGGAAACATTGAAGTCAAATACATTGTAGCATCTGTTAAAGATGCGACACATCCTCATTCCATCCGTAGTTGGATCGTAAGAGGCGGTTGTTCAGGAAAGCATGCGATCGTAACAGTCTATTCACGTTTCAAAGTTATGCCCGTCATGGTGAAGAAGCGAACGTTTGCGGCCAAAGGAAATTACAGAGTATTTCGAGACATTTAGTGACATGCGATTAATACGACACCACTCAGTGAAGACTTCCAATTGGTGCTGCAAGAAAATGGCATCACTAGGTTCTTTCATCATTAAGTAGAGTTTCAAGTCGTCCGCATACGATAGTTTAAGGCATTTCATGATGGTATTGCCGTCATTCATGTACAACATAAACAGAAATGGCCCAAGATGGCTACCTTGGGGAACGCCGGATGTCACGGGGAAGGATGAAGAAACATCCCCATAAAAAATCCTCCCGATTTTCCCTTCGACTAAATCGGTTCACGTCGGTAAGATCGACCGACTATGAAACCGACGTATTTATAAATTGTTGCATCGACTCTTATGGGACTGCTTAAGGGGAGGTTGCCAACGCGTCAGCACACTAAATCGGTAGTCGAAAACATAGGAAATCAGTCAACCAGAAGCGACCAAATCGAACGACTAGTAGGATGACAGAGTTGTAGCAGGGATTCTATGAAACCAGACGAAATATACTGGTTGATCAGTTTATTTAATTGTTTCTACGATGGAAACAGATTAAGTCGATAAATAAATCAGCATACGAAATTGATGAAACCAAATGAAATAGAATGGTTAATCGGTCCATTCAGTTGTTTGTATGATGGAAAAGATTAAGTCAACTGTTAAATCGGTTTATTAAATTGATGACACCAGATGAAATACACTATTTAATCGGATAATTAAATTGGGTTCTTTAGGGGTAATGGGGTTATTGCATATTCGTAATCTGCATTACAAATGGTATTCGATTTAATACATTAACGAATATGTTGACAAAAATAACTAGTGTACTAATACGTTGTCGGTTTATTAATAGGCCTTTTTTGTATACAACCGATTTCGCCGGTCGACAGTGAAATTCCCCATCTGTCAAATTTTTTATGGGGATAGTCTCCAATCTTGACAGACATGTTTAGACCAGTCAGGTAGGAGTAGAGTCAAGTAAGCAGACCATCGTGAACACCTATCCTGTCGTATTTAGCCAATGCAATGTCATGGTTCATTTTGTCAAATGCTGTGGAGAGGTATGTGTAGATAGCATCTACTTGATGGCCACGTTCTACTTCATGAATGATGAACGAAGTGAACGTAACTAAATTGGTTGTCGTGGAACGCTTAGGCATGAAGCCATGCTGATCCGTCTAAATACAGTGTGCAAAACTTTGAACCAATTTTTCGAGTATAATCAATTCAAAAAGTTTGGAGGTAGCACTTAACGAAGCTATTCCACGGTAGTTTGAAACAGTCCTTTTGCAGACTTTCTTGTGGATTGGGAACACGAAAGACTCTTTCCAGCAAGCTGGGAAAACCCCAGACATCAAGGAGAGATTGAACACGTTGGCTAGAGGTGTTGCGAGAGCAGTCAGGCAGCGTTTGAAAACTAACGACGGTACGCCATCTGGACCGAAACCCGTTGAAGTTTTTAGCTGCTTCCCGGATGAAATAACCATTTCGCTGGTGATAGAAAATGGATGGCTGGAGAAGGTTGAGTGAGAGACGTTACTAGACGCAGCAATTACATCCTGAGTGCTGAGTCGTTCGTCGTTGAAAACACTGCTGAATTGTGTGCGAACCAATTCGGCAATACCCACGATGGAGTCCACTTCCATTACGCCCTTCGTCATACTTGAGGGTAGTCCGCTTTCCTTTCTTTGGGCATTCACATGGCGCCAAAAGTTCTTAGGATTTGATTTCAGACGACGCTGAAGCTGGTCTTGCATGTTACAGTTGGTTGTTGAGTCGCTTGTAATCCGTGTTCGCTTTAGAATAACATGCTTTCGTGGAATCGGTTCGGTATTTGCTGTGCTTACGAAGAGCAGCCCTTTCATTTTTTTTTCAATCGCTTAAGCTCTTAATTCGACCAGGCAGGTTTAACAGGTTCGCGACTAATTCGCTTAGGTACGAATTGATCGATTGCGTACAAAAGAATGTTGGAGGTCGTCGATGCCGCGAGGTTAGAATCACAGTCACGCAGTGCCTCTTCCCAATCGATATTTGAGAGAAAATTATTCATTTCGCTGAAGTTGGCTTCGCAAAAGCTACAGAGGACGCTCTCTACAGTGTATTTGAAATTATGATGAACGTTGAGCTTTATGGTCACCAGCAGAGGAGGATGATGTCTACAGTTTTTAAAAACCGCGGAGGGAGCTGATATGATGGAACAATCAGTGCACATCTCCTCACTTACGAAACAGAGATCGAGCATGCGGTTGTTATGGTTTGGAATTCCATTCATCTGTCCGAGTCTTGCAGTGCAATAGGCATCCAGCAAATTACATGATGCTTGACCAATCGACGAACGGGATGCACAAGGAAAGTAAAATCCACGAGCATTGCGTTTCCAACAGACGTCGCGTAGGTTGTAGTCTCCCAGGATGATTAAGTTGTTATTGGCGCCCATGTGCGAAACAATCCAATCGAGTGACAGCAGGTGCTTTTCGATGAGAGTACCATCGTTTATACGATCCGGAGGAATGTACACCACGCAAATGTACAGGGTAGAGTTACGAGAAGTAATTGAGACCCACAATTGCTCAACGGACGAATTTTCAGGAGGTGATAGTAACCGTGAGTGCAAGCTGCTTATCGCATATTAGCTTATTGCGTGCTCTCAACTTAGTGTTCTAGATGCACTTCCACAGTTATTAATTGAGAGCTTTAGATGCATGCGTTAACTGTTAACGTAACTGTCATGTGTCATCAGCAAACCTATAGCTCAAAATCAGTTTGTTGACCATTATGTACCATGTTATCCACCCACCGTTACCCACTAGTGCTCTAAATTAGTCATCTACAATTAATCTGTTCGATTGGTTAGAGGACAACTGAATATATACCTCGTCTTATGTCCAATTCAAGAAAAAAAAAATGTTGAATATCATTGATTTTCTACCAGAAAAGCTCAAAACTACGACCCACTCATCTGGTCATATATCAAAAACAATTTGTCCAAATCAGTTTTCCTTGGAAATACATCAAGTAGAAGATTTTTCCAAAGTGCAGTGAAAATTTGAGCTCAAAATATTAAGAAATAAAAAATCCCGCCAGGCTATTTTTTTATTATTTGGGTACCTGCCGGTAATCAGCCTGTTTACTGTAGTTACTATAACAAAAACAAATGTTGGGTACACCTATAAGAATTAACATTAAAAAACCTTCAAATTGACGTTCTAAGATCACAAATAGCTTATTTTGTGGAAGAGTAATCTCTTCTGAAAGATATATTTTTATAAATCTCGAAATTCCAGGGTTGTAGCCGAGAGGGATTTAGGAACTTCCGAGAAAAATCAAAAAAGGCGTTTGTTCAGAATGCCAAAATAAGCGTGTTGGCCAAGTTCGGCTCAAATAGGTGACATCGACCACAGGTGGTGTACCCACTTGAGCTGGAATGACCCATATTGTCTGTTTAGTTTGATGGTTGATAACAATTTGTGCATTTATGTGCGCTCCCATTGCCCCACCAACCCTGCAAAATGAAAATGAAACTACTTTTTATAATGAAATAGATAAAAAAAAATACATACATTGTTTTACGGAATATTTGGTTTTTTTATATCTTTTTCCAATATTTTTTTAAATAATCATAAAGCACAAGAAATTTTTTTCGAAGTTCCTTAAAGTTCATCGTATGGCAGCAATTTTTCGCCATCATATCAACTAGCAGCTGAGATATAAGGGTCCAATTTTACCCATCATGGGCGTTTTACCCCCATTTTTCCTAAATCCGCGCAACCGGGTAAAGAGCTAATTGGGATTCGCTGGTCATCATGCATTAAGCGATTATATCAGATTTCGGTCATGTGATATTTAGGGGCGATTTCTCAATCAAGAACTCAACAGTGCAGCTTTTATGTTTTTGGCTCAAATGTTGTTCTTTTTCATTTTATTACCCGTTGTTGTCGTTGTTGTTCTAATCACAAACGGTTCGTGTATAGTGTACTTGTATAGTCGCTTGAACGTTGTTGGTTTGAAGATCTTGTTTCACGTTCCTATTTCGTTGACTGTGTGTGTGTGTGTTGACTTAGAGTTTGTTAGGTTCCCGAGTTTAACGTTTGCCGTTGTCGTCCGTTAGCCGTTGGTTATCACGTGGTCGCTATTTACCAGGCATAGTTGATTCCGAGTCCGTTGCTGTAGGTCATGTGAGCGACGGTTGGGGCAGCAGAGTAGGCAACTCCCAGAAGAGCTGGGGCGACGGCCTTAACGGCTGGGGCACCATAGACGGCTGGGTGAGCGTAGGCTGGGGCGTGGTAGGCAGCAGGGTAGGCAGCTGGGTAAGCAGCTGGATAAGCAGCTGGGGCGTGGTAGGCACCTGGATAAGCGGCGGCAACGTGTCCAACGGCCAGTCCTGGGTTGCTAATGCGGACATCGGACTTGCTCACCGACGAGTATGGGGTGTCGATGGTCTTGGAGTGGGTCGAGATCTGTCCCAGGTTGCCATAGGTACGCAGGATGTTCGACTGTTGGCTGGTGATGGCTGGGGTGTGGATTCCGGCGTAGGTTGGGCCAGCTGGGTTCAGGGAGTAGGCGGCCTGGCACACGGCAACGGCGGCGGCGAAAACAACGAACTAGAAGTAGAGATGAGTTTCAGTTGGTTAGAATCAATCAGATTACTATACAATCGACCCATAGGTTAGAACTTACTTTGAACATTTTGAGCGGTTTTTTGTTTTGAAAATAAATAACTTAAGAGTATATGACTACACGAAGGTGCAACTATGAACTGATAACTTTATTGCAAAACGTGATCTCTTTATATAGTCGCGGAGTGCATAAGTGACACACAGCCGAAACGCACCTCTTTTTCGCCTATGACACCGATTAGGCCGCCTGCAAAATAAGCTAAAAAACAACAACGGTGCTGAGCCGGGTGCATTGATTCGTATGGATATCAGAAAATACGCGTGTGCGCGAAACAAGAACATTGCGATTGAATTCATTTGGACTGGCTGGAGTCTGTCTGGGTGGAGACCAGCCACAATAAATCGCGCACGGAGGGCTAGAACGAGAAGGCGAGAACAACAGATGCATAGGCCTACCGACCCGATGGGATGCCGGCCCCTTGGCAAAATTACCCGCCTCGTGCATATGCACTCTCGTGCTTGGTCACACGTACAGCACGTGCGTTGAGGTCACCGGCGTGCGCGGAATGGTTGGATCAATTCCTTCTGGAGTATTTAACGACCTCACACGCCACTGTTGGCGATCAACTTTCGAGAAAAATTCAATCATCGACCGACCCTTTCTTCCGCTGCAGTTGCAAACCCCCAGGTCCTCGGGGTCGATCGGGTGTGTGTGTGCATAACATGATTAGGCTGTTTTGGGTTGCATTTCGTTCTCAAGCAGCAGGATCGGAGCCTATACGGAGGTGACGGATCTGAAATTGCATATACATATGACATTGCCTTGGGGACTAAGCGATAAGTAGAAGGTGTCTGTCGAACACGGCCCGGTTGCAAACGGATCTCCCTGCGACGACATAGGTCACACGGGGTGCTTGGGGTGCCAGTCAGGTTGAGAATTTGAAACAGTATTCGCTAAAGGATCGCCCGGATGGGTGCGGCTCGGGACGGGACAACAATGTCAGATATGTTTGATTAGGTGATTGTTTTTGCCTAATTAGGAGAGTATATAGAAATAGCACGGATTTCAGGTTGGGTAGGTGGAATACATTTGAATTCATTATGATCATATTTGCGCTAATTTGATATGATTCATAGTCACGCAGTCAGGTTTGCTCACTCGGGGTTTGAGTGGGATTTTTAACGTAGGTCATTGTTTTTTTTTTGTAGATTGTGGGACTTTAATAACTTTCGAAATTATCGGATTTAAAAAAATGGGGCAGGAATGCAATCTAGCGGCACAAAATTAGTAACTCCGAAACAAAGCGTTTCCGTTACTTGGTGACTTGAGCAAAGTTGCTTAATGAGGACCATGAATTGGTCCTGTGCTGACAGGGAAGGGGAGGCTTCTCTCTCCGGAGGGTGCAGCCTATCCGAGCGTCTGTTCTCCATGTTAGGGACGCCTGATCATCGTGCTCGTGCTAGTGTGGGACTCTAAAAAGTGCTTTGCACGATGGTCCTCCGGCGAGACAGAAGGTTCGTGCAGGCCCTATATCCAACTTTGGATGCCCCTTGTCATAATGTTGAGAGATATAAAATAACCTCGAAACATCCAATAGAGTTTAAACAAATATTAAAGATACATTTTCACTCTATCCAAAAGGGAAATCCCAAACAGAGAGCCCTCGCCATTGATAATACCGTACGTCGTGACAAGTATTAAAGGGTGATACGGTCAAAATTTGGTCAAGGGAAAACGCGTGTAAATCGGTGAAATCGTTTATTTAAAAAATCAAATTAAATTTCTTTTTCAAGTTCAATTAGTATAAAATTCAGGAAAAATATTCAGTTAGGCTTCCGCTTTTCCAAATCCGAATTGCCGGGCCTTACGCTTGACCCCTGCCATCAGATTTTGTACAGCCACCTTGTCCACCTTCTTCGCCGCAGAAAGCCAGTTTGCCTTGAACTGCTACTCGCCCTTAGCAGTTTTTTTGGTCTTCTTTAGGTTCCGCTTGACAATAGCCCAGTATTTCTCAATTGGGCGGAGCTCTGGCGTGTTGGGAGGGTTCTTGTCCTTGGGAACCACCTGCACGTTGTTGGCGGCGTACCACTCCATGGCCTTTTTACCGTAATGGCAAGATGCCAAATCCGGCCAAAACAGTACGGAACAACCGTGTTTCTTCAGGAAAGGCAGCAGACGTTTATTCAAACACTCTTTCACGTAAATTTCTTGGTTGACAGTCCCGGAAGCTATGAAAATGCTGCTTTTCAAGCCACAGGTACAGATGGCTTGCCAAACCAGATATTTCTTTGCGAACTTTGACAGTTTCATGTGCTTGAAAACATCTGCTACCTTTCCCCTTCCTTTTGCCGTATAAAACTCCTGTCCCGGAAGCTGCTTGTAGTCGGCTTTGACGTAGGTTTCGTCGTCCATTACCACGCAGTCAAACTTCGTCAGCATCGTCGTGTACAACCTCCGGGATCGCGCTTTGGCCGTCGTATTTTGTTTATCATCGCGATTTGGAGTCACTACCTTCTTGTAAGTCGATAGTCCGGCTCGTTTTTTGGCTCGATGCACGGTTGTAGACGATACACCCAGCTTATTTGCGGCATCTCGGAGAGAGAGGTTAGGGTTTCGCTTGAAACTACCGGCAACTCTCTTTGTCGTCTCAGCGGCTTCCGGTTTTCGATTTCCCCCCGATCCAGACTTCCTGGCTGTTGACAAACGTTCCCCAAACACTTTAATTACATTTGTAACGGTTGATTTGGCAACTTTTAGCGATTTTGCCAACTTTGCGTGCGAGTAGCTTGGATTTTCGCGATGCGCGAGCAAAATTTTGATACGCTGCTCTTCTTGCTTGGACGGCATTTTGACAACTGAAGAGTGAATTCCAAAATCAAAATAGGAGCAACATTCTACACACACACACCTTCAAAATGAGGGGTGTTCAGGTTTTTTAAATGCAAAATTGAAAGAAATACGTCAAGTTGATATTGACCAAATTTTGACCGTATCACCCTTTATGGTACCGTAAAATGGGACGACATTGGGCTAAAATTAAAAAAAAAGTTTACTGATGCAAATATCTTGAATATACCGAAAATGCTGACTAGAGTATGTCTTGAATTAATGGAGTAAAGTGTATTTTTTTTTATTATAGTCACTTTAACGCTTTTGGGCCATTCTTGACTTAAAGGGTGTCCCACATCAAATTGCATCACGGAAAAAACGCTGAAGAAAATTACCTAGTTGCCCGATCCTTTTCAAACTTTCAGACAATAAAATATAACCCATTCTTCTGTACGGAAACCCACTTTTTCTTCATGTCTTCCTCTGATTTGACCTCCTTGGGATGCTTCCATAGTGCCTGCTTCATAATAGCCCAGTATATTTCGAAGGGCCTTAGTTCCGGTGCATTGGGGGGGTTCATGTCCTTGGGTACGAAAGTGACCCCGTTGGCTTCGTACCCCCCAGAACAACATTTGCCAGAAGATCGTATGACCCTCGTGTAGCTTCAACAGAGGAAGCAGACGCTTCTGTAGACACTCCTTGACGTAGACCTCGCCGTTTACAGTCCCGGTAGTCACTTGGGATTTCATGGCAAACTTTGAAAGTTTCTGCTTCCTTACTTCCTCCGGAACATCAAACTTGTGCTGGGCGGTGAAGAACAGTAGCCTCGGAAGCTGCCGGAGATATATTAGACCGCCTTGACGTAAGTCTCATCATCCATGATGAGACAATGAGGCTTCGTCAGCATCTGGGTGTTTCCGGGCCCGTGACTTTCCCACCGTATTTTACCGTTCGTCACGATTTGTGGCCTTCTGTACTTTGTACGCGTGCAGTCCCTCACGGTCCTTGGCTCTCTGAACGAAAGACTTGGACAGATTCAAAGGTTTGGCCACATCCCTGACCGAAGCATTGGGATTCCGCTTAAACGCTTTCACGACACGCTTGTGATCCTGATCACTCATAGAACATCCATTCTGACCGCATTTCTCCTTCCGTTCGATGCTCAGAGTTTCGTAGTAACGTTTAATTACACGACTCACCGTTGACTGCACGATTCCGTGTTGTTTTCCGATGTCCCGATGAGAGAGTTGAGGATATTCCAGGTGCTTGCGCAAAATCAATTCGCGACGTTGCTCTTCGGGTGACGCCATTGTAAACAATACACTCTAAACTACTTCTACCCAAATTTTCAGAGAGAATACCCAATGGGTAATGTTCTACAGCATTTTTTCCGTGATGCAATTTGATGTGGGACACCCTTTATCCGGGGGTGAGATTTGAAATCATGACTTTGGTGTGAGAGGTATGGATACTAACCACTACACCGGGGTCGACCCCTTGTGTGTGTTAATAACATTAACCAGTTGTTTTATTTAAATAGTGCTGTAAAGTTATGTGTCATAAATAATAGCTGTTACGACGGGACCCCTCATAGCGGCGACACTTTACACAACGGCGCTGCGTCAGCTGTCAACATAGTGACATCGATCCCGAGGAACGTCAACAAAAAGGAAGAAAGAGAAGAACAGTAGAGTAATTTATAGTGCACAATCGAGGGGGATGAAAGTAATCCATTCTCCATTTCATTGAACGGATTTTAATAAAATTTGAATCATAATTTCGATTTATTTGAATAATTTAAATTTGTAATGAATAATAACACGCGCTTGCCGATATCATCCGATTTCATCCACTTTTCATCGATAATCTTGAATGAATCAGAATTATCTAACTGTTCGCTCATATTATTTTTAGTGTGTATTACGGTGTGACTGTCTGTCACTTTCATATTCGAGCCTCAATTCGCTCGTTAGTCTTTGTACAACAGTACAACAGTGTGAGTTTTCCATTGGCATTTTGCAGCCGAGCTACCAATCGATATGAAACAAACAGGTATTCCTTAAAAAACTTATTTTTAACTAAACAAGCTAAACTTTTATCACAGTTAACCCCCAAAATATGCGGATAAAGGGTGATACGGTCAAAATTTGGTCAATATCAACTTGACGTATTTCTTTCAATTTTGCATTTAAAAAAACTGAACACCCCTCATTTTGAAGGTGTGTGTGTGTAGAATGTTGCTCCTATTTTGATTTTGGAATTCACTCTTCAGTTGTCAAAATGCCGTCCAAGCAAGAA